TAACAAAAATAAGACACTAAATTTCTACCCCGGTAATATGCTTACAGCGGATTTGCCGCCACAAAGAAGAAAGAGCTGCAGCAGATCAATACAAGTTAATAGAAGAAAGAACTTCTCCACTCAGAGCTTACAGTAGAGACCCGAAACAATAAACTCTGGACAAGAAAGCTTTCAAGTTCAGGAAAAGACTGGGAGGAAATGGAGAAAAAAAATAAAATAAATCACAATATTGGTTGGAAATAATATCAAAATAGATTTTTGGCAAAATGGATCAGCTCTAGATGGAACATGTGGGTTTTAGAAAAGTTTTTCGAGCCCAAAGAAGACAGACGATGCTTCAGAGGGAATCCGATTTAAACAGATACCGGCCAACGTCGTAAGGGGTTCAAAGGTCCCAATAAGGACGGATCTACAAGGAGACAAATGCTCTACTTTATATCATTAAAATAATTATTTGTCCAAAAGACCCCAACAGCCTTCAAATGAAAGGACGGGATTGAACAATGATGAAATGTGATCCCCAATGTAAACAGAGGGACAGAATATAGCAGCAAATAAATACATATTGCATAAAACACAGAGATGTAACATTTATCTATTTCATTGAATGCAATTCATTGCAATTTAATAAGTCAAAAGTTGATCCACTGAATATGTTTCAACACTTAATTTCCATCACATCTACCAAAATGAAACATCCAGGTAACATGGTAGCCTCGCTACCATGTTACCACGTGACCGCTTCAGGAAGTGGTTCAGAAAGCGCAAGAATTTTGAGAGGCTTCTAAACAGCCTCAGTGTTCAGTCAAGATGTGGGAGATTGTAGGAGTTGCAGTCAGCTGGATAGATTATAAGAATAGATTGGTTGTTTTTCCAACCAATCTAGTTGCTTAAATCTATTTTGGATAGAATAAACAATGTAATGATTAATATCTGAGCAAGCCACCAGACACAGCTGTAACATTAGTGTTAAGTAGTATTTTCTCCAGTTGTACAGGTGGTCACATAAGAGGTGTCATCTGTAAGACACAGATTCCCACTCCTGAGGTTGATCGTTCAAGACCTTCCTTTGACTTTTGAAAGTTGCGATTATGTTTAATTATTTTGGCTAATGAGACTAATTTGTATTGGTTTGCCCTAGTAAAAATATAGATTGGGTAAAAATGCTGCCACATTAGGTTGGTTTAGCCAAAAGATTGGTTGACACAACTTCCAACGTGATCAAGACCAAAAAAATGGGGGGAAACTATTGGGGAGAGAGAGAAAAACAACTGCATCAAAAAACACAATTTTATTACAAACTGTAGTTCTGCATTCCACCAGTAGGTGGTGACATATTCACATGGAGCTTCATGAACTTTGGGGATCGTTTAAGCAATTTGGCCAAATGGTTCAGTGCCTCATGAGGCTTCATCTCATCATCACTACTTATTAGTTCTGCATTGTTTAATTTACTTGAACTGCATAGAATAAACACAGCTGTGATATTCTTAGTTTAAAGTATATTTAAGATGAAAGTATTTTAGTAGGCCCCATTCTGCATTACTTCAATTCTCTAAAAATCACCAGAATATAAAAAAACAATGTATATTGTGTGAAAAATGTTCCACATAACTAAAGATCACTGTAATTTAGTAACATTTACTGTTCTGTAGAAATCCCACATTTTGCCACTTTGTTTCAGTTAAATCCTCTGAAAACCTCCAACCTATAGCTGCACCTGTCCTCATCTAACCCTGACAGGGTTCAAAATCTCACCCCAAGGTTTGGTGAAAAGTTGGCAGCCCTGAAACCTAGAAATCCTAGAAATAGATGTATCTAGATCCTAGATTCTCTTTTAGATAATCAATCCCCTGATGTTAAATTATATAAAAGTCATCTCCTTCAGCTTAAAGCTGACTGAACTTTTAAATGATCAAATCAATAGTAAAGGTGAAATATTAAATTGTTACAATTCAGGTATCGTTTATCAGCCCATATCATCTTCATAGGAAACGCATTTAGCAGAGCACAGACAAAACTGAGCTAATAAAGTGAAAATGTATTAAAATCTATGCATTTATCCTTAAATTAATGAGGTGAATGAGATTAACGCCCTAAAATGTCGTTAAAATGAACTAACTGCATATTATCCACTTGAAATAAGATAATAAATGCGGACTAGAGCATAAGAGAAGCAGAATAAATGAGATGGTGATTAATAGTTAGCTTTTATCTCACCTGATGCTCTCGCTTTCTGGACGCTTCGTCTTTAACGTCGGTGAGAAAAACACAGGGTATCTTCTGCTGAACGGAGCCCAACCGGCGCATGGCGGCGGAGGAGCAGGATTCCTCTGCCTTCTTTATTCTTTGGGTTTATAAAGTTATCCTCGAAAGCAATAATGTTAGCAGCAAGCGGACAGCATGTGAATGTGTTTACAGTATGATGCGATTCTTCTTTGACCAAATGTTCATCGAATCACACAGTAAAGGAAGGCTCGTTAGCGCCACCTTGCTGTCTGGAGGAAAGTCGCACAAAAATAGCTTCATAAACGGGAATATAGTGAATATAAATATATATATGTATATATATATAATTTTGGGTGACGTGACATTAATTAACCAGTAATAAAAAAAGATTTACTGTATTAATTAAATTATGAGTGCTCTCAAAGTAAAATAATAATCAATAATGATTTTAAATATGTACATATATAAAATAATTCACCCAAACTCAAACCCTTATTGAAATTCATTTAACAATTTCAAAATGAGTGAACTTCCTGTGAAATAAAATTTAGAAGAAAAAAAAAAAAGTTGTACATCAGAATCAGAATCAGAATCAGAATCCGATTTATTGCCATTGTTAGTGAAGAATGTAATGTAATGAGGGGTAAAAACAATGGCATCATATGTGCTTGAGGTAAAATCTTAAATTGCTTGATTACTGCATATAATTCAAAAGAAATATCTATAATTTGGCAAGGCAAGTTTGTTTGTATAGCACAGTTGAGCAAGAGGACAATTCATTTCCTTTCTAGGTGACATGCATTATGGTTATTATATAAATTTAAACTCAGTGGCGTAATCACCATTAGGTAAAACTAAGTGCTGGTTGATCCCAGGCTGTTCTATATACATCCAGTCTGTTCCTCTGCTTGGTTTGATGTATCATAGCTGAAGGTGAACTCAAACAAATGAGAAAAACTTACTTTTTGGTTGATAACTATTTTATTTTACTACCAAAGAAATAAAATATTTTCATGAACCCCAAGTTCCTGAGAGCTCCATAAAACTCTGCATATACATATAGTCAATACAGTTATTATTTATGAACATTAATTATGTGTTTGATTTTAGTTCTTTTGCTAAAAAGTGAGCCTTCAGTGTCCTCTACATTGAATCGGTCCATCTTACTGCACACATGCGAAAAGGATCCAGGAGTCAGCAGCAAATAACATGAAAACAAACAGGAGTTAAAGGAGAGAAGAGAAGAAAAAAAGATGATACGAAGCTACTCTAGTTGGGTTGTGTAATTTTTTAAGATCATGCACTATATACCATTAAAGCACAATGAAACCAAACATATAACACTAAAATACTACAATTATTTACAAATATAAAGTGAAAAATAAGCTACCAGGAGTAGGGTAGGATCCCATTTCTGGGAGAGGTCCGGTACAAACCAGTGATAAACCAAACAGGATGTAAATGCATTTATTCTCTCAGAAAAGAAAGAAAGCTTTTCATAATCATGGATAAAAAAAAAAGAGATTTAGGTCTTTTTTCTTAAAGAACAATCAATGATGAACCAGACGTTTTATGGTTGCGTGTGTGCAAATGAATCTGCGGTTTGGAGCATGTTACAGGTACGGATTGGATAGTGAATAAAGTCAGTCAGTCAGAATCATCTTCTTGCAAGATTTGCTGAGGCCATGGCTAATAAAGGTTTTAGGAAAAAAAGGGCAAAAAAAATATAAGCATAAAAAATTAATAAATAAGAGAGGAAGACAACATGAAAAAGGGACAGGAAGAAAAAGAGAGGAATATGTGTGAACTGGACAGAAGAAGAAAAAAAAAGACAAGGACAAAAGGAAAATAAACATGCGGACGTGGAAACAAGAAAAGACTAAAAAGTAAAACAAATAATGCAGACACATTATGTTAAAATGTCTATATCAGTATAATTACCCTATTTATTTCTATATTATGTCTCATTTCAGACGGCCTCATATCAGCCTTTGCCTTGGGCTCCAAAATTCTTAAACCCACTGCTGCTTATAAAAATAAATAAGAAAAAAAGTGGTTTATCCAAAGAACTGGGGGAAAAAACAGAAACTCTTATTTCTATCCCAATAGTGTGATTTTGAAGAAAAACTTTCTTATGGCTACAGCTGCAGTAAAGGCAGTAAAATGCATAGTTGACAACAAATACATGCTTTTATTATTTCTTTATGGCCTCCCTAAAACATTTCCTGCTACTTCAGAGAACAAGCATTACAAAATGTACATTTAACATGGAGTGCATGAATGTATTGACAAAATGTGTTAATATGTATTACTGTCCAAGTATTTCTTTGCTATCTTGATATTGCACAGACTCACAGTGGTTAGGATACACATGATAATATAGTTGTGATATATTGTGCAGACAGATACAATAGAATGCTTTACGTGAAAGCTTACTCACCTAATGGCCTAGTCAAAGTTCNCGGTAATATGCTTACAGCGGATTTGCCGCCACAAAGAAGAAAGAGCTGCAGCAGATCAATACAAGTTAATAGAAGAAAGAACTTCTCCACTCAGAGCTTACAGTAGAGACCCGAAACAATAAACTCTGGACAAGAAAGCTTTCAAGTTCAGGAAAAGACTGGGAGGAAATGGAGAAAAAAAATAAAATAAATCACAATATTGGTTGGAAATAATATCAAAATAGATTTTTGGCAAAATGGATCAGCTCTAGATGGAACATGTGGGTTTTAGAAAAGTTTTTCGAGCCCAAAGAAGACAGACGATGCTTCAGAGGGAATCCGATTTAAACAGATACCGGCCAACGTCGTAAGGGGTTCAAAGGTCCCAATAAGGACGGATCTACAAGGAGACAAATGCTCTACTTTATATCATTAAAATAATTATTTGTCCAAAAGACCCCAACAGCCTTCAAATGAAAGGACGGGATTGAACAATGATGAAATGTGATCCCCAATGTAAACAGAGGGACAGAATATAGCAGCAAATAAATACATATTGCATAAAACACAGAGATGTAACATTTATCTATTTCATTGAATGCAATTCATTGCAATTTAATAAGTCAAAAGTTGATCCACTGAATATGTTTCAACACTTAATTTCCATCACATCTACCAAAATGAAACATCCAGGTAACATGGTAGCCTCGCTACCATGTTACCACGTGACCGCTTCAGGAAGTGGTTCAGAAAGCGCAAGAATTTTGAGAGGCTTCTAAACAGCCTCAGTGTTCAGTCAAGATGTGGGAGATTGTAGGAGTTGCAGTCAGCTGGATAGATTATAAGAATAGATTGGTTGTTTTTCCAACCAATCTAGTTGCTTAAATCTATTTTGGATAGAATAAACAATGTAATGATTAATATCTGAGCAAGCCACCAGACACAGCTGTAACATTAGTGTTAAGTAGTATTTTCTCCAGTTGTACAGGTGGTCACATAAGAGGTGTCATCTGTAAGACACAGATTCCCACTCCTGAGGTTGATCGTTCAAGACCTTCCTTTGACTTTTGAAAGTTGCGATTATGTTTAATTATTTTGGCTAATGAGACTAATTTGTATTGGTTTGCCCTAGTAAAAATATAGATTGGGTAAAAATGCTGCCACATTAGGTTGGTTTAGCCAAAAGATTGGTTGACACAACTTCCAACGTGATCAAGACCAAAAAAATGGGGGGAAACTATTGGGGAGAGAGAGAAAAACAACTGCATCAAAAAACACAATTTTATTACAAACTGTAGTTCTGCATTCCACCAGTAGGTGGTGACATATTCACATGGAGCTTCATGAACTTTGGGGATCGTTTAAGCAATTTGGCCAAATGGTTCAGTGCCTCATGAGGCTTCATCTCATCATCACTACTTATTAGTTCTGCATTGTTTAATTTACTTGAACTGCATAGAATAAACACAGCTGTGATATTCTTAGTTTAAAGTATATTTAAGATGAAAGTATTTTAGTAGGCCCCATTCTGCATTACTTCAATTCTCTAAAAATCACCAGAATATAAAAAAACAATGTATATTGTGTGAAAAATGTTCCACATAACTAAAGATCACTGTAATTTAGTAACATTTACTGTTCTGTAGAAATCCCACATTTTGCCACTTTGTTTCAGTTAAATCCTCTGAAAACCTCCAACCTATAGCTGCACCTGTCCTCATCTAACCCTGACAGGGTTCAAAATCTCACCCCAAGGTTTGGTGAAAAGTTGGCAGCCCTGAAACCTAGAAATCCTAGAAATAGATGTATCTAGATCCTAGATTCTCTTTTAGATAATCAATCCCCTGATGTTAAATTATATAAAAGTCATCTCCTTCAGCTTAAAGCTGACTGAACTTTTAAATGATCAAATCAATAGTAAAGGTGAAATATTAAATTGTTACAATTCAGGTATCGTTTATCAGCCCATATCATCTTCATAGGAAACGCATTTAGCAGAGCACAGACAAAACTGAGCTAATAAAGTGAAAATGTATTAAAATCTATGCATTTATCCTTAAATTAATGAGGTGAATGAGATTAACGCCCTAAAATGTCGTTAAAATGAACTAACTGCATATTATCCACTTGAAATAAGATAATAAATGCGGACTAGAGCATAAGAGAAGCAGAATAAATGAGATGGTGATTAATAGTTAGCTTTTATCTCACCTGATGCTCTCGCTTTCTGGACGCTTCGTCTTTAACGTCGGTGAGAAAAACACAGGGTATCTTCTGCTGAACGGAGCCCAACCGGCGCATGGCGGCGGAGGAGCAGGATTCCTCTGCCTTCTTTATTCTTTGGGTTTATAAAGTTATCCTCGAAAGCAATAATGTTAGCAGCAAGCGGACAGCATGTGAATGTGTTTACAGTATGATGCGATTCTTCTTTGACCAAATGTTCATCGAATCACACAGTAAAGGAAGGCTCGTTAGCGCCACCTTGCTGTCTGGAGGAAAGTCGCACAAAAATAGCTTCATAAACGGGAATATAGTGAATATAAATATATATATGTATATATATATAATTTTGGGTAACTTGACATTAATTAACCAGTAATAAAAAAAGATTTACTGTATTAATTAAATTATGAGTGCTCTCAAAGTAAAATAATAATCAATAATGATTTTAAATATGTACATATATAAAATAATTCACCCAAACTCAAACCCTTATTGAAATTCATTTAACAATTTCAAAATGAGTGAACTTCCTGTGAAATAAAATTTAGAAGAAAAAAAAAAAAGTTGTACATCAGAATCAGAATCAGAATCAGAATCCGATTTATTGCCATTGTTAGTGAAGAATGTAATGTAATGAGGGGTAAAAACAATGGCATCATATGTGCTTGAGGTAAAATCTTAAATTGCTTGATTACTGCATATAATTCAAAAGAAATATCTATAATTTGGCAAGGCAAGTTTGTTTGTATAGCACAGTTGAGCAAGAGGACAATTCATTTCCTTTCAAGGTGACATGCATTATGGTTATTATATAAATTTAAACTCAGTGGCGTAATCACCATTAGGTAAAACTAAGTGCTGGTTGATCCCAGGCTGTTCTATATACATCCAGTCTGTTCCTCTGCTTGGTTTGATGTATCATAGCTGAAGGTGAACTCAAACAAATGAGAAAAACTTACTTTTTGGTTGATAACTATTTTATTTTACTACCAAAGAAATAAAATATTTTCATGAACCCCAAGTTCCTGAGAGCTCCATAAAACTCTGCATATACATATAGTCAATACAGTTATTATTTATGAACATTAATTATGTGTTTGATTTTAGTTCTTTTGCTAAAAAGTGAGCCTTCAGTGTCCTCTACATTGAATCGGTCCATCTTACTGCACACATGCGAAAAGGATCCAGGAGTCAGCAGCAAATAACATGAAAACAAACAGGAGTTAAAGGAGAGAAGAGAAGAAAAAAAGATGATACGAAGCTACTCTAGTTGGGTTGTGTAATTTTTTAAGATCATGCACTATATACCATTAAAGCACAATGAAACCAAACATATAACACTAAAATACTACAATTATTTACAAATATAAAGTGAAAAATAAGCTACCAGGAGTAGGGTAGGATCCCATTTCTGGGAGAGGTCCGGTACAAACCAGTGATAAACCAAACAGGATGTAAATGCATTTATTCTCTCAGAAAAGAAAGAAAGCTTTTCATAATCATGGATAAAAAAAAAAGAGATTTAGGTCTTTTTTCTTAAAGAACAATCAATGATGAACCAGACGTTTTATGGTTGCGTGTGTGCAAATGAATCTGCGGTTTGGAGCATGTTACAGGTACGGATTGGATAGTGAATAAAGTCAGTCAGTCAGAATCATCTTCTTGCAAGATTTGCTGAGGCCATGGCTAATAAAGGTTTTAGGAAAAAAAGGGCAAAAAAAATATAAGCATAAAAAATTAATAAATAAGAGAGGAAGACAACATGAAAAAGGGACAGGAAGAAAAAGAGAGGAATATGTGTGAACTGGACAGAAGAAGAAAAAAAAAGACAAGGACAAAAGGAAAATAAACATGCGGACGTGGAAACAAGAAAAGACTAAAAAGTAAAACAAATAATGCAGACACATTATGTTAAAATGTCTATATCAGTATAATTACCCTATTTATTTCTATATTATGTCTCATTTCAGACGGCCTCATATCAGCCTTTGCCTTGGGCTCCAAAATTCTTAAACCCACTGCTGCTTATAAAAATAAATAAGAAAAAAAGTGGTTTATCCAAAGAACTGGGGGAAAAAACAGAAACTCTTATTTCTATCCCAATAGTGTGATTTTGAAGAAAAACTTTCTTATGGCTACAGCTGCAGTAAAGGCAGTAAAATGCATAGTTGACAACAAATACATGCTTTTATTATTTCTTTATGGCCTCCCTAAAACATTTCCTGCTACTTCAGAGAACAAGCATTACAAAATGTACATTTAACATGGAGTGCATGAATGAATTGACAAAATGTGTTAATATGTATTACTGTCCAAGTATTTCTTTGCTATCTTGATATTGCACAGACTCACAGTGGTTAGGATACACATGATAATATAGTTGTGATATATTGTGCAGACAGATACAATAGAATGCTTTACGTGAAAGCTTACTCACCTAATGGCCTAGTCAAAGTTCCAACCTATGTCTGTCTTTATGATGTAATTATGGGATACAAAGTGTGTCATAATTATCTATTTAAATATCATAATTAACTTTCAATTCTCCTCATTATTAAAATCTCGTCAATAGAACTTATGAGAGTGGGAATTAGAACTTTAAATCGTATTATGGCTTAAAATCTCATAACTTCTAACAACATATAACATCTTATAATAATTCCTCAAAACCTCACAATTATGACTTGTGAGAGTCAAAACTATTACTTTGGATCATATGGTTATAGATTTCATATTTATGCCTTAGGCTCTCAAATTTGACTTTAATCTTATAATTGTGACTTAATATCTCATAATTATGACTGATGAAAGTTGAAATTATGACTTTAAATCTCATATTTTTCCTTAAAATTTCAATAATTAGTTTTAGATTTCATTTTTATTATTTAAAATCTTATAATTATGCCTTTAAGTGTTATTATTATGACATACCATGTGCCATCTTTTTTAATTTCAGGTGGCAAAAACATACTTCCATAATAAACTGCTCAGAATTGTGGCTAACTAAAATAGTCTGCCTCTTTTCAGCCTCAAGTTGTTGTGTTTTCTGCCTGCCTGTAGTCTACAGATTGATTTTGTCTGTGGTGTTTCATACAACATGACCGATCGACGCCAGGATCAAAATCAGGCTCCAGAATCACCAGCTACTCTAAAGAGTTTGTTTCCAGGCATGGATTCACACAGAGTGTAATATCACTGGAGTACTTCATGCTCAGTTCTTCATCAAGCTCCATTTCTGCTCCGTCTTCACTCTGTAGCTCCATCTCACTGTGCGTGTTCTTCCACATCTCCGTCTCCATGTCGTCCTTATGGAGCTGCCGGACAAACAACCGGCAGATTTTCCTTTGCCATAAAGAACAAAAACACAATCATGTTTTCTTTACTCTCTAATGCGAGGATTTTTCGATTGCTTCAATAATTGTAGTAAAATCAAAGTTACTCGTCCTCCATCAAGTCTTATATAGAAGGACAGATGCAGATGATGTGGATTTGATCCATTTTACATGTTTTCAGTTTAATAAAAGTGTCATTTATGAATGAATTTAAAGCCACCTAATTATTGAGGAACATGACTCACGCTTTGTAGCACCACCAGGCGGTCACTGCCGTAAGAAGAAGCAGAATGATGCTGAGGCTAATGAGCACGATATGAGCAGCTGAGAAAGAAACAAACCATTTTAAAAGGTTGAAACAGACCATCGAAAAGACATCTGTCTAAAGTATACACTAAAATTCTTTTAAAGACAAAAGAGGAGCAGAAACATTATGGGTTTATTTTACTAAGACAAAACAAAGGTCAACTATATCATCTTAACTGCATCTTATTCTAAGGTGTTTTATTACTCATTATTCTGATCTGCTTCTATCTCATCTGTACGATAAAATGAGACTATAAACTCCAGTCACCTGTCTAATAGTGTTTTGATTTTCCTTTTTGAGCCTAAATAGAATCTCAGCATTGGGTGCAATGAACTTACAAAAACAGTTGTGGCACTATCTATTGGCAGTACCACTGAACAACCAGAAAGCCAGATAATGCAGCTGCTAGATAAGTACTGACTGTGCTGTAATGCTCAAAAACAACAGCTCAGAGGATATACGATATAATACTAGCAGCACTATTAGCAAATACACTTCTTCAGGCGTCTATCAGCTTTATGGTAACATCAGAACGCTCCTGAGCTTTAGCTCCAGCTTTAGAGAACTTCAATAGTCAGACTCTTTTTCCAGAGCAACCCCATTTTTTTCCGTCCTAGAATAAAACATCTTCACGTGCCTTTTTAGCCTCAATCTTGTACGTTTCATTTTTTAAAATGACGCTGTGAGTTCAGCACTCGCTCAGCTCCAATGCTTCGTCTTGTTGACCTATTGTGCTCATGCTGAGATGTAATCCGGGATGCCGTTATGGTAAATATACACAGAAGGCTTTATTTACTAACAAAATTAGCTATAAAAAAAAAAAAGCTTGAAAGACAAAAATAAAATATACTATTCTAGCAGGACACCGTCATTGGTATTAAAACGGTTCTATGCAATCAGATTGGGTTACTGACATATAAATGAAAAATTCAAACAATGTGACTATGTGCTTTTTTAAATGAGTGAGATAATTTTTAATCAGTTTCACACCTAAAAACCTTTTTTTTTATCTAATACAAAATAATAACTGTGACAGAATACATTTAAAATGATCAGTTTAGATTTCTTGATGATATTGAAGTTTATGTTCAAAGAGAATAAATGAACATATCACCATTACCCTTCCCTCATCTTTTTGTTTTCTGTTTTGATGTAAATTAATATTTGCAAACCATTTATAGTGAATCCAAAAAAAAAAAAAGTTTACCACTTAGCTGGAGGCTTGCCGGGCTAACCGATGGTTGCAGACCGAGCTCAGAAGAAACAGCGGGACTTGAGGACGGACTGCAGGTCAAAACGCCAAAAGTGACCCTGGGGGGTATGGGGGTGCTCAGACGGTTAGGAGAAAGGGGAACGTAGGAGGACAGGTGTTTAACAGAGGAGGAGGAGAGGGAAGATGAAGGCTGGTCTGTTGTCTCTGTGAAGGGGTCTGAAGCTGAAGGGGTCTGTTTGGTGGGACTATCCACTAATGGTGGCAAACGGGTTGTTGATCTGTATGTAGATGCAGAATATGCTGAGGTCTGGATCATCGCTTCCAGTGAGGTAGAAGATCTGGAAGATCGTGGACTGGCTGTGCTTGGTTTCCAAGTTTGGTTCTGATCTGTAATTGCTTAGAGCAGATAAAACACACAGAAATGTTTGAAATGAGGCTAAATCAGAGAGAAAACACACAGAATAAGGCTTGAGTCACATTAATGCTAGCATAGGTTTTATGTTCAGTGGGTAGGGATGTTCTGTACCTGAAGCGTTGAAGCAATACACCATAAATTGTTTACTAAGTGCTGCCTGCCACACTACCAGGCCACTTTTCCCTGCTCCACATTTAGGGTCAGGTTTTATCCGTGGGATGACAGCTTTCATTTCAGCCACCCAGCCATATCTGTTGGAAACAATTAATGTTTAACACAAAAAAAAGGTGTTTATAATCACAAATGATGATGATGACATTAGCAAGTGCTGGCCAAATGGGACAAGTATACCAGTACAGAGTAATATAATATAATTATGAATTGCTTTCGTTTCCAATTCTGTTTGCCAGAATTTCTCTTTATTTTGGGGGCTGGATTTCCTGAAAAAATAGTGACCGTTATTTCTATTGGTCGATGTGTGTTTATATTTGGAATGAAGTGAATAGAATGGGATCTAGAAAATGGAATTTAAAGAGGATGGAATTTAAAAATATAAATCTGTGAAAAAAAAAAAATGGAAAAGAATATAAAATATGAAATGCTGATTGAAAAAAAAGGATATTTTACAGTTTGAGGGTAATTTTTGTGTTTTATAAAAAAAAAATCACATTTTTAAAAGATTTTATATTTCTTAATTCCATTCTCTTTAAATAGAGTTTTAAAAGACACATCCTCTTCCCTTTCAACCCAGCACAATCAATCGCTTGAAGCGTACATTGACCAATAATATTGCTGTTGCTAACATCCAGCAGACCAATAGAAATACATCCTCACTCCATAAACCATCTTATGCAAAATCATCTTATTGACTTTCGTAAGTTAAGCTCAAATACCCTAATATAAAGGAAGTCTAACCTGTTTTTACATAAATTTGTACAGTTTTGCCTTTCTATTGTGTTTCTTAGTCTTTACACTGTGTCTAAAATCAGGAAGAAAAAAATATCCTCTATGAAAAAGGCACATAAACCAAATAAAATTTTTTCTCCATGCAGCAAAATCATTTTACTTGATAATATTTCTTGATTTAGGATTTTTTTAATTTAGAAATAAGCATGCTGAGCACTTAAAATTAGAAATTATATCTTAAGGCAAGACAAATGATCCAACATTTCCTAATATAAATTTTTACCTTTACAAGTATTTGTTCATATATATATATATATCACATTGCATATTTAGATAAACTTTAAACCTGTAGTTTGAGAAATAGTGGAAATATTAAGTGAGTTTGAAGACTTTTACTTGGTAAAGAAAATAAGGAAATACATCTAGTAACAGCTTTGGTCTTGGTTGTGCAACTGGGTTGATATATCTGAGGGTTTTAGAATAACTAAAGATTTAAAATGTTCACAAAATAATGAGTTACATGTCCTTGTTTTGTTTTTTACTTTTGGTCTCATGGGACTTTATGCATGTAGTTCAATGATCGTCCTACTTGCATGTCTCCAGTCCGTGCTGCACTGCTTCCTGCATCTGAGCTTCGGTTGCTATGGTGACGTTCAGAAGTAAGCAGGCTGCTGTTGCTTCAGTGAAGTTTAAGGTGTACTTTTCTCCGTCCGCCAGCAGGAAGATTCCCGTTGGTTTGTCAGACTGAACCGGAACTAAAATGTTGCAGAACGATGGTGGTTAACCTTTCAGATGAAATCCATTATTTATTTTAGTTGTTATTGAAGGCAGTACAAAATAATAAAGGTATTAGAGAACGTATATTTCAACACAATAAAATAACCTAAAACACAAAACCGATAGATTTAAATATGTCCAAATTGTAATCGCAGCTTCTAAACTTTGTAAAATACCTAAAGAAAGTAGGGAAGTCTGTTTTTTTAAGTTTTGAGACCCACATCTTCCAAGAAGCGTTTTTATCCCTCTAAAGTTGAATTACAAGTTTCTTAGAGATATTTAAAGCATAAGAGAAGAAGCAATATTCCGCTTCCTCACACTTTCCCTTTCTTCAACTCTTCCAAAGTCTTATTCAAAATTGTACAAGACTCTTGTGCAATTTTGTATTTAATCAATTACTGATGTGCATTTATGGATGTAGCTTTTATTCTATGCAAAACCCGTAATGATCCTAAACAATCATTGGTCCAAAAGATCAAATTTAGTTTATGAAGTTCTGATAACTAGAAATAGAGAGAGGTTTGTATTTTAAGTAAGATATCTAAAAAACAAAAAACGACTCTTTGGTAACTCAAACATCTCTTACAATTGCTGAGAGTGATAAAGGTGTCATTTGAATATAAATATTTTAAAATAATAGTAATCTCAATTCTTATTAACATGAAAAAAGCTCAATAAACAGAAGTCTGAAGAAAAAAATTGCTTAATAGGAAATAGGTAAGAATAAGGAGAGTTTGACTCTCACAGTTATTTGCTTCACAGTATTCTATGAATTTGTAGATTATTGTTGTACAGAGCACCAGTTAAAGGTGTAGATTATAGAAACACCACATCAGTAAAGTATAGGAAGGAATCCTCCCACATCAGTTGTTGCCCTTTGGGAGGAAAAGCAGTGTTTTCTCCAAGTTTTGGTCGGATTTTATCAGCAGAATCACACAAAAGACACAGCTAACAAAAATATGCAACAAAAAGCCCAAAATATTGGTTTTTAAACCCAATAACTGTTTTACTCATGAACTACAAAAAAGTTGATTCCGGTGGAGAATATTTCAAAAGCTAGCAGTATATACTAAAAGAGATAGAAATGCTAATGGCTGCTTAATCCTGTTGCTTCAATGCCCCGTTAGGTCATGGAATCGACCAGTAACTGGAGGAGTGCTTGAATATATATATTAATTAATATATTTGATATATATCTATAAATATTATATAAATATAAAACATATATTTTTATATTGAAAAAGCATTTTAAAACAATAGCTCTGCATGGTTTTTGTCAGTTTGCTCAGAAATATTTCCCACCGTACTTATCCTCAGATGTTTCTTCAAATGGTAAAAGAATGCTCATTTATTTATTTATTTTATTTTTTGATAAGCTCACTATGTCAAAGGTAACAAGTTTGTATTTTTTGGAAATTTGAAGCTAATTTTTTCCTAAAAGTAACACCAGTGAAACTAGCACCACAATTAAAATAAACACCAAGTAACACACTCCAAATACACTACCTGCTATTTAAAACTAGAACATGAGTTACAAAATTATAAAGGAAATAAAGAAGAATTTATATAAATAAAATGTGGATAAAATAAATCTACACTCTTACCTTTACTGAGACTGGAGGCTGAAAGGTGCACCATTGCTGTAAAGAACCCCAGAAACATGGACATAAAGCAGCTCTGGCTTGCCATGTTTCTCTGTGAGATATATAGCTAATGTAGTGAGTAAATGAGAAGAAGAATCCAGAATACGGAAGTGGGTCCCTGAATGGTGCGGAGGAAACAGGAAAACCGAGGCCAGCTCTGCCCGATGGCCTTTGAGCCAGATAGAGCAAGCCTCCACATGACCGCAGCCCTCAGCGTGTTTTAGTCAAACATTGTCATTCGATTGCATAGATGACACATACAATATATCAGTAGCAAGCTGTTTAGAGATCATAGAGGATGTCCAGGAAATATACAAGCAGGATTACAGGAAGTGTTTAGGATTCCAAGAGAAACAAATGTAAAAATATAATCCTTGGCTATAAAAAAAAGAAGCTGATGAGTAATATAGGGCCCTTATTCGTAAACATGGATGAAAGACCACAATTACCCCTTTGGGTGTGTAGCTTAGTGGTGAGAATATTTCCTGCTTTGCCAGCATTTCTATCAGAGCTGTTTGCCTTATCAGTAGAGTAGGAAAAGCTTCTTCCTTTGCAACCTTGCTTATTTTTCTTTTCATTAGTTTTTTTTTTTTAATAGTTTAATATAATGTCACTTGAGTGCAAGTTAATTAAATAGTCTGACAAATAATAAATCTTATTCTAATTTCTTTTAATTTCATGCAGCAAATAATTGAAATGGACATAAAAAGAATACTTTCATTAAAGTGTTAGTTTGTCTAAACCATTTCAAAAAACGTTCCTCTTTACTGTAAGGTATCCTCTGTAGTTTTTGACTGAGAGGCCAACTAATGTGTCAGAGGGGAAAGAGAATGAAATTAAAAATGCATGGAAACCCGTGATGAATACAGCGCGTATGAATACTCTCAAACTATTGCTTTGTCCAAAGCACCTTTGAGAATTTGGTCCTCCTGGGTACGCAACTGGTATCAATTACAGATAATCGAATTGATCCTAGAAATACAATTTCTTAAAAAGTTTAAGCTTTCCTCAAACGTTTTTCATGACATTTGTATCCAACAGTTTGTGTTAAAGATAAACACAGATCAGCTATATTTATTTATGATTTCGATTAGAAGAATTATCGGCAAGCATTGGATTCATTTCCCCCTGTTATGCAATTTATACTCAGCTATATCTACCGATAAATCCCAAAGATGACCTGAAGTTTTTGTCTTTGTACCAAAGTCTTAAAAAAAAAAAATCTGATTTCAGAAAAAAAAGCTGATCCTTTAGTTATCAGGTTCCTCTCCTGAGGAAACAACTATCAGTTTCAGTCCATCAGACAGACCCTGTCTACTTTTTAGGCTAAGCGTTTCCTTTTTGATAAATCTTATAGAGTGTCTCAGGTTATCCTTAGCTATCTCTATAGATATGTTGCTATAGGCTTAGAGTGCTGGAGGGCATAGAGATCCCTTTTAATAATTTAGCTTCATTTCATTTATATTCTCTCATTCTGAAGTATTTGTTTTTTCTACTCATAACGCTATGCTCTCTCTGCTTTTTCTCATAGCAGCTTCATCTGGTCAGTTCCCGTGTGGCTGTGACTCCATCCTGGAGAGAAATGTTGGCTGTGCTGCTGCCATCAACACCTTTGTTTGTAGATGTTGGAGCTTGGCCTCTTTTTCAGTGTAGTTCTAATTCTCTGACTTTGACTAACTGGATGTGCTATCTTTGATCCTTCTGACATCTGAGCTGCTTAGAGCTTGTCTGTGTGGCTGTGTTTCCTGGACAGGGCCGCCTGTGGAGCTGGTTGAGAGTTGCCTTCTGTATCTCTGCTTATTTCGGTATCTCTGCTTCTGTCTCCTTGAACCCCAGTCGGCCTCAGCAGATGGCCGCTCACACTGAGCCTGGTTCCGCTGGAGGTTTCTTCCTGTTAAAAGGGAGTTTTCCTCTCCACTGTCGATACATGCATGCTAAGTGTAAGGAATTGCTGAAGAGTCAATGACAAAATGCAAGCAAATATCAGTGCCAGAAGCTCATCCAGGAGGAACATATCGTGCAAGTAGATGACTCAATGCAATCATCTGTTTTTTCTTGACAGAAACTTTTATACAATCTGACTGTATTGTCTCTGTATGGTGCCTTAAGATGATTTGTGATGTGATTTGGCTCTATATAAATAAGCTGAACTGGATACATGAAGTCCTCATTTGAAGGGAGGTGACAGAATATCTAATACATTTTAAAAAAAATAAAAAAGTACTTAAACTGTAGTCTATGCAGAGAAAACCAGGATTCAAAACCAGATCTTTTTGTTGCATATAAGCAGTGCCGGTGAACTCCTAAAGTGACAGAAACGATTAAAAAAGTAAACTTCCTGTCAAGTTTCTTTGACCTAGTGACTTTTTATGGAGTGGATTTTGTTCCAATGTTGTTGCAAACAAAGTGATGTTTTGTAGATGAAAATAAAAGCAATACAAAAATAAAACTTCAAAAACCTTCGTAATCAAAAAAATTTTTGAGAATACCTTTGCTGTTTTTTCAAATTTTCATTTTAGAATCATTTTTAAATTTTATAGTTTTTATTTTCTTTAACAGATTTTGTATTTTAACATATTTTTACACAAGCCATATAAAACAGCTTGACCAATAAAATCATTGCCTGCTAATTTGCATGCAGACCAATAGAACTGTGTCTTTGCTCCTCACTCCAATGAAGGTCTGTAGAAAGCCATTTTGAAAAATGCTATATGGCATAAAAAAAAAAAAATCATGATAGAAGGTAAAGTAAATAAATAAGGAAAAAAAGAAAATATAGAAAGAATCTTAAATAGATAGCATTTGTAAAAATAAAACTGGAAGATAATTAATTTTGAAAAGATAACTTAAAAAAGAATTTCTGGAAAAAAAATACAATAATTTTAAAAATTATATCTGACAAATCAGCAAAATGACTTTCAAATTCCTTTTTTGATTGAAAAGTTTTGCAAACCACGATTTCTGGATCGCATTTGTTTTTTAGATGTTAATTTACAAAATAGTCTTTGCTTGCACTGAAACAAAATTCACTCCATACTTTTTTACCCCTCTGTTTTTACAGTCTGGCGGTCCTGTCATCATACAGTACAGAGAAGTCGTCCCCTCTACCTTCCAACATGACCGGCCAACCTGGTGCAAGCTGCTGTTGTTCTACAAAGGAATGTTTACCTCCCTCTCACACAGGTCAGGTCCGATCACATTACCTAATGAATACTGAATGACAGCTAGCTGGTGATGGGATACACCTCGTGATCTAGACCTGAAACTGAGAACTTCATTCAGTTAGCCGTTCCAAGTTCTAACGATAAACAAGATGGCCCGGTCTTCTCTTTAAACCATTATTGCAACATAATCGAAAAGAGACGCTTTGGTGGAATTACAGCCATCTGGTACGGAAATGTCTATTAGAGCCAAGTCCCATACAGACCTGCCAACAGCTGGCAAGTCCCCAGCAGAGGATAGCTTCCACAAATCTTTCTCTGTGAGCAGCATTGGTGTTAATAGAGCTGGACACTTTGGGTGTGGGGTGACCGAGGAGGTCAAAGTTCTCTCCAGGGCTTTCAGGAGGCCCGTCCGGGCTGTCAGGCCGGTCAGCGCTGTCAGCTCCAGTGGTTCCTTTCTCCAGATAAATCACCTACAGGGGGAACTAGTTCGAAAGAGGAAGGTAGGCAAATATTTCAAAAACAACTCATGACTAATGCTGACACCATAAAACAGACTTTTCGTGAAGTCTGAATTTTATTGATACATTTTGGCCATTTAAAAAGTCAAAAAATATATATTTTGGAGCATTCCTTGTTCATTGCAAAACAAACAGGGAGGAGAGTTTCTCTGGCATCAGTGCTCCTCTCTGACAGGACACTGTCCAACAGGAAACACCATTAAATACTCAAAAAGATTGACTAGGTTGGTCCAGCTCCATCTGAATCCTCCCTGTTTTACAGCTTGTCATTAATAAAGGATTCAGTGAATTATTTTCGGCTGATAAGTTGATGAAAAATGTACAAACAGGGCAACTACTCCATTTTTATTGGCAGTGCAGCAGGCAAAAATATACCATGTTGTAAAAAATTGGTAATTTTTCATGTCAAATAGGGATTTGAGGATTTATAGCACCTTTAAAAAGCATTCAGACCCCTTCAAGCTTTTCAAATTTTGGCATTTCACAGTCTCAGACTTCAGTGTAATTTAAGGTTATATATGTTGGGTCAGCGAGAGGAAAGGGCCAATATAAATTACAAGGAAATCTAGCTCTCCTTATTAAATTCTCTTTAGGGCCTTCTTCAACCCTCAACAGTGTTGTACACCAACAAGCAAATCGTTTTGCCCTTTTTTTTTAATGAAAAATGTTATGTTTGGGCAGATGACTGGAGAAAATTCAGTAAATTTCTCGTCTGTCTGTAAATTCTGAAAGGAATTGCCTCAAAACTCTAACTAGGGAATTTCAACACATAAATTGGAGTTATCTAGACACATTCATCTTTGCATTACAGTGAATAACCATGGGTTTAGATCAGACAGAGACTAGTTCACAGTTTTGTTGCTTGGGTTTGGAAAACTAACCAATGGAACTCATTAAAAAGAAGTATTGTTTTCCCACTGGCAAGGCTAAGGACATTTACCCAGATGCCATGTTGTGTGGTTAATGAAGGAGATCATATTATATAGTGTGTGAAAGATTTCCTGAGGGAGCAATTTCTCAGGAGAGCAAACACATATTCTTATTTACTGCAGATAACAATTCTGGATATTGAAGGTGGAGATGTTTAGAAATATAAGCCTGAACAGTCTAACTTAAATAGAACTGTTTCTTTTTTTCCTTCCTTGCACCTTTTAAAGGTATTGTAGTGGATTTTTGTGAATCTTTTAAATCTCCACTTAAAAGAAAATGCACATGCACAACCCTGTACCTGCTCCTGAGAGGGAACGGCTATTAAACGTGTGCGAGAGCGTGCACAAGCCTATTTCTCCTTGTGCACGCTCTGTTTAAAAGTTGCTCTTCACCTAGCTATTACAAGCTTGTTTGAACGTCCACCTAATTCTCTCAATCAACAGAGTGGGGACTATATAGTGGACTTTATAGTGAAGTCAGTTAACTTACCGTGCGGACAGATGATCACTGCTTTTTGCTCCCCATGAGTCACATATCTCCTCTCCTATGGCGACACATGGAGTTGACAAAGCAAATCCCATAATGCTTTGCAAGGAGAGCTTTCCACACAAAGCATTCTGGCATATATGTGCCTCTTCTCAGGCCTTCTTTCTTCTCATACACTTTGTAGCACTTTTTCTCTTACAACCCTTGGCCATTTATAAAGAACCACGGTGAAAAAGGTGAGCTTCAATGAATGGCTGAAAATGTAGCTCACCACACATATACTGTACGCCTGAAAGTGCGCATGCACAGAAAAGGAGAGCTAACTGGGGACGAACACATAGGACGGCCTTACGTAAACATATCACCAGAATTATTATGATCCACCCGGAAATAAATGATGGTCCTCCTTACCTTTAAATGTAGGCTTTCCAGGAAAGCAGAGCTAAAAAAGAGAATTTTTTTTTTTTTTTATGTTGGGCTTGTATTTTAAAATGATTGTCAGCAAGGTGGGACTTGAAACTCTCAACATTTTCTAGGACAGTAGTTTTATATAATGTTTTTGGGCTGCTGCCCAATCCCTTTTACACCAGTCCCTCATGGACTGCAGATGGTGAGCCAATTGGGGGAGGGACTTGTGTTGCTTATTTGGACTGGGCCTCACTGGGTCCCAAGAAGAATAACCTTACTCACCGATGAACCCCAACCCCAGGCAGGGCTCCAGGGTGGGTTCTTGGCTCCGCCATCCTGGGCAGTGTAATGTGCCTTGCTATTGTTGTCGTCATAAGGGTTGCTGAACTGCTCTTTGTCGGACCCATCATCCAGAGCCTGTTTGCCTTGAGATAACCTACCTCTCCGATCATCAGGGCACTAAAACCCTTCCACCATGTTAAGGCGGTGGTTCTTGATGCCCCTTGGATGCCTCCCTTGGCAGGTGTTCCTACTATACCCCACTGGGGGGAGGCGTAGTGGACGGCCAAGCATGTCCTGGAGGGGCTATGTCTCTTGACTGGCACTGGAGAGCCTCAGGCTTCTTCAAGAAGAGCTGGCGGAGGCGACTGGAGAGAAGGAAGTCTGGGAGACTTTTGCTCAGGGACCTGGTCTTGGATAAGCAGAAGACGACAAGTACAGTTCAACAACAATCCAAGGCTTTCTATTGTAGCTTTGGCTGTAGAAGTTAAACCTTGGAAAGAGAGGTGACCTCTTCCCCAACCTCTGACTCTTTTTTAACCTCTTACCTGTTTTCTACCTTTACAGCCTTGTATTTAGCTTCATCTTTATTGAATCAACAGATTTATTAAGTACACAATGTACAGTTGGCTTCATCCACCTAGGTGTTGGATTTGGTTGTTTCTCCAGTTTTAGAATGAGGCCTTTGGCTGCTGCTCTCATGCTTTTTTGCCTGGTCTGTCACTTTAGATGGTTGTCCATCTGTTGGTGGGTTAACCATGACTATCTCTTTCCATTTTCAGATAATGGATTGATCAGTGCTCTTTAAAATGTTGGGTTACTGTGGAAAGTCCTTTGAACTCCTCCCCATTTTCTCCCTAATCTTCCTTCTGTGTTCCTTAATCGTCATAAGACAAACACAAAGAAGCAGACACTAAAAGGCTAAAGGTAAACTAGCTCTATAGTTGGCTCTATCAAGGAAAGAAGCAGTTAAGCAGATAAGCTTCAATCTAATTTTCATATCTTAAGGAATTTTAAAAAGCACAGACAGTTGATCAAAGTAAAAGCTAATTCCTCAGCTATGTCTAGAAGAGGAACAAAGGCTAAATACCCAGAACTCTGTCATCTGCATTTGAAGCTAACAGCACCGGCCCAGCTGATTTTTCAATCAAGAATGATCGCAATGTCAAACAGAAACAGGCCTAATCTATTAAGAAAACATGAAGTTAGAGTTTGAACTAACCAATGCACTATAGAAGTGAAACTGGGGAGAGTATGGAAAAGTGGTCCCTGTGTCCTTCAGCAGCCTAAGCCTATAGCAGCATAAGTTTAGAGATATCTCAGAGTAACCTGACTAACTAAAAGCTTTACCAAAAAAGAAAGGTTTAAGATTGCCACATGCAGCTCATCCATCTGTGGGACACACAGCTGATGAGACTATTGGTCTGAGCAACTGACACATCACACCTCAGACTGTCCTTAACTGTATACCGGAAGCCAATTTGAGTGCTTGGCGCCCTCACCGTGGTCTATTTTCACTGCTATCCGATGTAGGAACCATAATGCATGGGTGAATACACATGTCCGATGGCCCTTGGCATGCTGTAAAAGAGCAATTTTACAGAAGAATCCGGGTTCTAGTTGTATAACATTTGACAGACAACTATAGACAATCTGATCAACTCCATGTGAAGATGATGTGTTGTTCTAAGAGATGCAGCTGGCAGACACACAAGCTTTTAAAAAATCAAATTCCAGAGCCTGACCCCTATCATGTCAAAGGACTGTCAATCTTCTACGAAAGAACAATATGAAGATCTGTTATTACTGAATATATATTTTGAGTTTTTCTTTATATTGCATAACCCAAATGTTCATACAACTCATATTTGACAGGTGGCATTTTTTTTTCAGTGTAGTTGGTTCCACAGAAGAGGAGTCTGATAAAAAGTGATTCCTGTACTCCTTTAAATATTTGGATTTGTTTTTGCAAGGCTTTGTATATCAGAAAATGAAATATGCCTTTATAGTCCTACAGCTATACAGAAGTCTGAGGTCAAGGGTCTTACTCAGAGTGAACTTTCCCCAGACAGAGAGACTTCCCGCTCTCTAACCATTCGCCAGCACTCCCAATCATACGATCTTCCTGGCAGGAGAGTCTTCACACTGTCTGATGCCTGATGCCATCTAAACACTCAAGAAGAGGGGGCTGATTAAAAAAAAAAATGCTTTCAGCCAGATAACTTGCCGAAGTCAGGAATGCACTTCAGATTAATTACGAGTTTAATTTGGCATAAAAACAGCAACATTATTCATTCCAGTTGATAACGAGTAATGGGGATAGCTTACAGTAAGACCAGTTCTTAAATAAGATAGAATGGGAATGTCAAAGAAATAAGCTTCCAAAGTGCTGATGCATATAAATTAACCATGATAACACAATCATTTTTTATTCAGCTAGCTTTATGCTTCCAAAACAATCTCTGCTGCTTTTCCTCCTTGTTGCATGTCACCGATAATGCACACTTCTCTCAGGAATGCGAGGACCTCAAGAGGCAAAACAAACTCTTATTGAATGAAATCCACATGGAGCGGATCATGATGCGCACAGAGAATGAGCTGACCATGAGGAACCTCAGGAACATGAACCAGGAGCTGCAGATGCAAGTCAAAGAGGTGTGTTAAGAAAAGAAGTCTGCTTTTAAAAGGCCTATTATGCAGGAAAACAGGCTTAGTAGCTTTAGTCTTTGAGAGAGAGAAGAAATATCTTTTTTCAAAAGAAAATCCATTATAGACACCAAGATCTGTATGTATTCTGTGATCTGATGTTCAGTGCAATGACCATCAGCTAAAAGACCTGTTCCAAAGAATTTCATATTGCATATTTAAAGAAGAACCTAAGCCGACTCCCAAGCAGAGTGTGAAATTACATTCAGGAACAAAATCTGGCTTCTCCAATTTCCTGTCTAAGTCAGCACACACCCAATTCCTTACTTCTGTTCCTCTTTAGCTGAAGCAGAAGTTGCTTCAGAGCCAGCAGAGGGCGACATTTTGCTCCCAAGCTGCAGAGGAGGCTGAAGAATCCAGGGGTGAGGCTGAGAGGAGTAGGGCCGCAGCTGAGGCTCGGGCCCTCGGGTGTCAGCGGGACAAGGAGACGGCTGAGGCTGACCGCAGAAGGCTGACTGAAGAGCTACAGCTGCTCAAGAACGAGGTACTTAAAAAAGAGAAAAATATGTGTACCTTCATTTACTTTCTTTTTCTGAGCAATATGTAAGAAAAACAGGCAGCTTTTCAAAGGACACAAAGAAGAGAATATGCCTTTTATTTAAAAATTAAGCTAAATGAGGACCAAAGTTTATCACTTTCCCCAATCACACTGAGGGAGGCAGGTGTAAAGAAATCCTCCAAAAGGGATTGCCATATTGAGCTTACCAGGCCTCCATCACAACCACTGTCAGCTAATGAACCAGTTGTTCAGAAAGCATGCTAAAAAGCCTTTTCTTTCAATCCCTTACTCTACTCAGACTACCGATGAACAGTGGGCTCTGACCAGATACGACTAAACTGTTTTCTGGTGTCAAATGACACATATGCACAAAAATAAAGCAAGATGGCAGAGCTATGATGCTTCAGCTTCTCTACAAAAGGCCCTGATCTAAAATCTTTAGTGTAATATAGCAGGAACCAAACATTTTAAATGACTGCAAACGAGCAAAAAATGTTTTAATGCCATTGATTTTGCGAGTTCTATTACTTAGACTTCTACAACTGAGAGATCTGTAATTTTCATCATAGTAAACTTTGCCTATGACAGAATGAAAAAAAAAAGAAAATTACGTTGCAGCATATTTAAATAATTTATTTTTAAATTATGGTGTAAAATAAGTGTTCAATAACCAAAATTCAAATCAGTACTTTGTAGCATAACATTTGTTGGCAACCAGGTCAAACATTTCCAGTCAGTTATAACCAGGTTTGCTCACACTGCATTTGGTATTTGGCCCATTCCTCCTTGCAGGTCTCTAGAGAAGAAGCTGGCACAGGGAAACATGGACTTTCAACACGTTTTTCGCAAATTCTCTATGTGGTTTCGTTCTATAGAATAGCTGGGCCACACCAGCATCCAAAAATCAGCTGCCCCTTTGTAGCCTGAGTGGTGTGTTTTGGATCATTATGTTGGAAGACACAGCTACGTTCCACCTTCAATTCTCTCATTGATGGAAACTTTGGGTTTAAATCTCACTATACAAACCCCATCCTTCCAAAGCTCCTCGTAGTGATGGGTAGATGAGTCTTCATTATTTTGGCACATGACCAAACTGTATTGGCTCAGTGATACTGAATACCAGCACTTGCTTGACCTTAAAAATCCCTACAGGCAACAGTTTTGACAGACTCAACTGAGACTGATTTGACAACTTTGTATATACACACACATTATAAATATATCGTTATATTGTATAATATCATGTCGTCATTTAATGTATCTTTAATATTCTAAGATGCAGTCGAAAAATAATGCATCATGTCTAAAATTTAAGTGAACATAATGAGGATGCATGTGGACTAGAGTTTTCTCTGTTCAACTTATTTAAAATAAAAAAGTTTTTCCAATATTTTCAGTTTTTTTGATACAAAAACACCCACTAACATGGCACTGATATTAATAACAGAAGAGGTTTGTAAAGGTTGTCCAAGCAGTTCAGGATCTAGGATCCTGGTAATCCTGGTAACTTGGTAATATTGGCCTCTGCCAGGTATCTGTGCAACTCCTGGAGAGCATCAGCTGTGGCACTTTTGGTCTACCTGCCCACTACAAATTATAAACGAACAAATTAGCATTTTTGTACATGACTTCCAAACAAAACAATTATAAGGATGATAAGGGATCACTGCTTGCTTTGGCTCCAAACCTTAGTACACTTGGAGCTACACTGGCATGAAAAGCCTTTTAGGGTTTTTTCTGGTATTACTTTTATGATTTGAAAAAGCTACACTAACCATTTATGGAATAAACTTTGTTCCATCATTTTGCAAAGAATAAGCAAAGAAATGTATTCAATCCAGAAATTGAAGATTTGAATCCAAAAACTTTAAGATTTAAATTTCTTGTTTTTGTGATTTTTTTGTGTTTTTTGGTTTTTCTTCCTCAAATTTCAAATTTGTTTTCTTCCATTTTTTTTTCAAATGTATGTTTTTCAGCTTGTTTTTTCCATTATTTTTTGAATTGCATTTTACAGATCGTATTCCCTCCACTTTTGGGGATTCTTCTGTATACATTTCTATTCGTCTGCATCAACGTTACTGTAGCAACAACAATTTATGGTAAATATGAGAGTCAAGCGCGAGGGTTTGTGGGCTTAAAGGGAAAAAAATGCAATCTGTTCTATGAAATTTAAAAAGAAGACAAAGCAAAAGAGATCCATAGTATAGAGGATGTAGCTTTCTTCAATTACTCATCTTTATGTTCTTGTAAGTAATGTCCAAACAATAGTAACTCACATAAAATCAGCCATTAAATGACACTATATAAATCAAGAGCTGCTCTGCCTGCACTAACTATTTCCTTTGATTTTTGCAGCATGCTGATCTGCAGCTAAAACTGGCACAAACAGAGAAGAACTACTTTGAATCCAGGCTGAAGCTAGAGCGAGTTTCTGGGGAGAAAAACACTTCTCTGCAGGAGAACAGGAGCCTTGGGGCAGAAAAAGAGGAGCTGCGTCTCAAGCTGAGGCAAATCACAGAAGAAAATATTAAAATTAAAGAAAGGTACCTGGCAACAAGAGGTTGTTGTTTTTTTTGTTTTTTTGTTTTTTTTGGGGGGG